CACCCTCTGGGTCGTCGTGCTGGTACGGGCCTGCTCGGGCCACCGCGCCCTGCTCGCCTCACCCCAGGCGCTGGCCTGGGCTCTGGGTGCCCGTGTGCCCGAGGGACGCTGCCTGGCCGGCTTCCTGGGTGAAAGCTTCAGGGCGGAGGTTCCTCGCTCTGGTGGCACGGCCATTGCTTCTGCTGGGTGTGCCGGCCCTGGCCTGGGTCATGCTGCCTTCCCCGCGGCTGTCAGGTGGGCTGTCCGGCCGTGTGAGCCCGAGGCTGGCCGGAGCTGTCAGCGAGAGCCAGAGCCGGGTCGCTCTGCAGGGGTGGACCTTGGTGTTCACGTTTGCAGTCCTCCAGGTTCCTGGTTCCAAGCAGGCCAGCAGCCGTGCCCACCCTGAGACCCCGTGGCTGCAGGACCCCTGTGCCGGCCTCGTGTCACTGCCCCTCATCGCCTGCCGAACACGGGACCCCTCACTGCCCGCCCTCTGCGTCCCTGCCGCTGCGGCCTGAGCCATGTGTGGCTCTGGGCACCGTGGGGGTTTTTTTAGCTATCTCCTCACGCCTGATATTTCCGCCCTGCTTTCAAACCCCTGCGGCTGCAGGTGTCAGGGACGTGCCCTGGCATTATGCCCACCTGCTGATGCCCCTCTCTGTCCCCTGCAGCCCTTTATTGACAGCGACCACGGCATCCACCGGTACTTCTTGCCTCGGGAGTACGCGGTGATCATCCCCATGGTGGCCGGGCTGCTGCTGCTGCTATTTATAGGTGAGTGTTATTTCTGTTGTTCTAATTAGAAGCTTCTAAATTAGGAAGAGAGACGAGAGTTGCTGGGGGTTAGCTGATGTGTGACACTCGTGGCACGCTCCCTGCGGCTCCTGCTGCAGCTTAGCCTGGCACGGGCTCTTGGGGCGTGTGTTTGTGTGTAACTCTGGCTGTTTGAGCCTCTGGACAGCAGAATTGTTCCTGAATCGCTCTGCTGAGGGTCTGTTTCTCACCGCAATGTGTTTTAAAAGTGTCCATAATTAGAAGTTTTCTGGCTGAATCTGTTCTTCTGTCTCGTGGCAGGGGTTTTTATCATGGTCGTGATGTGGAAGAGCAGGAAACCTGCCAAGAAATCGGACTGAAGGCCCAGCAAAGAG